AGTAGAGACAAAAGAGGGAGAGAAAGCAAAACAAAGGGAAGGGAAAGAAGCTCTACCATGGTGGTGGGGGTCAGGGAGGAAGAGAGGAGAAAGGGGAAATGGCTCTCTGCCTGCAGTCCCTTCCTTCATCTGCCCTGGCTGGCCTTGGCATCCGACGTAGGAATGGAAAACACTGCAGGTGTTGGGCCGGGGGCCCACTGCACGCTGGTTGAAACTTTGTCACTTGTGTGAGCTCAGTCTGAGCCAGGCATGGGGGACGAAGCAGCCACGGGGGCAGGAGACCTTCCCCAGAGGGAGTAGAGGGTCAAGCCCCAGGTCAGCATGGAGCTGGGGGTCTGTGGTCCCCTCTTATGATCACCACCTTCTCCTCTGAGAGGCCTGCCCTTCTGTCCTCTCAAGCACCTCTGCCCTCTGCCTTTCATTCCTGCCTCAGAAAGCCCTCTGCTCACTGGCAGTCACCCACTTCTGGCCTCCTGATTCAGGGAACCCTGGTTTCTCCCAAGGAGGGCCCAGCTCCTGGCAGGGGGTCAGAGGAACGGATGTCATGATGGCAGTCCCCCAGGACCTCGGCCCTCAGCATGGGGCAGGAAAGCCACCAAGGCAGCCCGGAATTGGAGGGGGGATACATTTGGTTCAAGGAAAAGAGGGTCCCTCTCAGAACAAGGGAGGGAAGCCCTGTCTCGGCAGGGAGGCAGAAAGGCCCGTCTCAGCATGAGGCCCTGGGCTGGAGGGCCCCTCTCAGTCCAGGGCACCAGCACCGGGCTCAAGGTGGTCACCCTGGTCCTAGTGAGGAAGGGGAGCCCTGCTTCGTAGATCACACTTTGGGGTTGGCACGCTAGAGAAGGCTGGGTGCAGACAACCTGCAAACGGACCTCAGACCAGACAAACCGGTGAGCAGGTCAGAGGAAGGGAAGGAGATGTCTAAGCACAGGCGAGGGACAGAGAAGAGAAGAGAGCATAGGGCCTCCGGTCCCCCCAAAGGAACAGAGCTGCTGCCTCCTCCAAACAGGCACCGTCAGGCATAGTTCAGAGTCCCACGGGGTGACACAGTGTACAACTGACCTTATGTTGGTTGATTTATCAGGGAAGGTGGTGCACAGGGGGCTTCTATCGGCACTCATCTCTTCTGGCTGCAGACTTTTGCCCTCGTCCAACTCCCCTGCAGACTTCACCTATAATTACGGGGAGGAAACACGTGGAGCAGGGAGAGATGGCCAGGATGACCCTGCACCCCCGGTCCTTCCCTTCTCCAACAAATCCACTCCCCTGACTCTTGTCACCATCCCGTGAGCACTCCCAACTTCCTTTCAAAGAAGGATCTGGGTACCACACCTCACCTCACTGTTGGAGGGGTTCAAGCTCTTGATGCTGGCGGCATTCTGCATAGTGTTGGACAAGCCATCCAGCTGGCAGGGTGTCTTGGTGCTCGGGTTCGAGGGCAAAAGCTATGATGAGGAAAAAGTTAGAGTGAGGACCGCAACAGGGGATATCTGAGACCAATCTGCCTCTTCTACCTAATCTCTCCCACCTTCAGCATCAGTCTCAGCACTGGGACTGAGTCCTCACCTCGGGCATGTTCTTTTCATGGGTCTGCAGGGAGGCAGCCATGCTGTTTCTAGGATTTGGTACCATTTCAATATCATGGGTGATCAAGTCTCCGAGAAGCCGAGAGGAGGGAATCAGAAGGCTGCGAGAGGCCCGGCTCGCAGAGCCCCAGCATCAACCCCTCCCCACGTTACCGTCCCTGAGTCTCCTTCCGAGACAGGCCCCTCTGCCCTCAGCTGCCCCAGAATTACTGCTGTAGGCATACCAGGGGCAAAGAGGACCCTCTGGATGTTAAGAGATTGCTGGGAGACTACATATCGTTTGTTCATGGTCAGCTGCAGAGTTAGAGATGGGGTCAGTGGTTCTTGAAAACCAAGCAAGACTTATTTTGCAAAAAAATCATTGTCTATCTTTGGTAATAAGTCTAGACTTATTTTGCAAACAGATTATTGGTTATATTTGGTAAAAATTAGGGTGATTATAGAGACAAAATATGTTTCAATAACACATCTTTGTAGATGTTAGATTTTAACACTATTTGCTGTAAACTGGACTAGGTCCTGGTTCCTCCTAGGGTCCTCCAGTGCCAGGCTACAACCCTCCAAACTACCATTCTGATTTTTCTCCCACCTTTCTGACTTGGAATCATTTATGAACGAAAACTTCCCTTTTCCTAAAGTCCTGCAAACTACATATAAATGACTTGATGTAAAGAAATCCCCATAATAGCTCATTAATAGACACTCTTGGGGCGCCTGGGTGGCTCAGTTGGCTAAGCGACTGCCTTCGGCTCAGGTCATGATCCTGGAGTCCCTGGATCGAGTCCCCTATCGGGCTCCCTGCTCGGCAGGGAGCCTGCTTCTCCCTCTGACCCTCCCCCCTCTCATGTGCTCTCTCTCTCTCATTCTCTCTGTCTCAAATAAATAAATAAAATCTTTAAAAAAAAAAAAAAACAGACACTCTTTGTGCTTACTGCTCTATGGGCCACTCAAAAAGAGCACCAAAGACATTCAAACTGCAAACCAGAAAGATCTGTTAGATTGCCACTACCTGCCCTCACTCCATCTAAAGAAGCTTTAAGTTGGACATCTAGAAGTCTCATCAACTGGCTACCCTCAGAGCTCAGAAACTGGCTTAACGTTTGATCCAAACATGAACCTTTGTTTTTCTTTTGTTTCCATAGAAATGCCTTTTATTTAATACCCGATTACTTGAAACATACGTGTAACTTTGAGAATAATACCTGCAATCCTGCCTCCTGAAATTAGTTTGACTAAAGCGACCTATTGCTGGGACTAAGAGATGGGACCAACAAGATGAAACAATCCACCTGCTCCATATTTAATATGTGACACTCCCAAGGAAGTATTCGTGGGGGGACCTGAAGGGGTTCAGGACAGCCCCCACCTCAGAATATGGCCACTTTGACATGTGGATTATTTTGAGCTGAAGGCACTAGAGAACCTGCAGACTCAAGAGAAAGTTTTGTCCCTCCTTTAAGCACACAGAAAAATCTAAATTGGGGGTCTTTCCCAGAATAAGAGTTATTAACAGAGGTAAATTTTATCTGAGTGATGCATCTATATGGTAGGTTAAACCTCTTATTGCCAAACATCTGCTCCTGTTACCACCGTGTGAAGTGCATTCCTTTCCTCCGACATCCCAGACCGCTACTCCGTTCTCCTTGGTTCAGAATGACATATATATCTCACTCTGCCTGATTGCCTTTGAGATTTACAAGACTATGGATTCCTCATACGTACATCTATTAAATTTGATTTCTCCTGTAAATAAATAAATAAAGAGCTCACTCACTCACTCATGGGTCAAAGTAGAAGTCTCAAGGGAAATTTAAAAAATTTAAACTGAATGGAAATGAAAATTCAATATCAAAATTTGTGGGATTCAGCAGCACTGAGAGCGTATTTATACCACTAAATGCATACATTAGAAAAAACAAAAATGTTTCAAATCAATAATCCAAGCTTCTACTTCAAGAATATAGAAAAAGAACAGCAAAAGGAACCAAGACCAGAATAAGGTAGACAGTAATAAAGAGTAGAAATTGAAGAAATTTAAGAGAAAAATCACAGAGGAAATGAATGAAATGAGCACCTGCTTCTTTGAAAAGATCAATAAAATTGCCAAACCTCCAGCAAGACCGCTAAAAAAGAGAGAAAAAAGATAAATGACCAAAATCATGGTTTAAAGAGGATGTCACTACAGATTCTGCAGACATAACAAATATAATCAGAGTATATTATACTATGGGTAACTCTACACACATCAGTTTGACAGCCTAGATAAAAGTGACCAATTCCTTACAAAATACAATCTACTATAACTCACCCTATATGAAATAGATCATTTGAAAAGTCATTTATTAAAAGAATTGAGGTTGTAATTTAACAACTCTCCCAAAAATCCAGGCCCATATGCTACTACTGGAGAATCCAATGGTAAGGGGAGAATTAAGATCAATTCTACAAAATCTCCACCCAGAAAATAAAAGAGAAGGGAATATTTCTCAATTCATTTTATGAAACTAGTAATAACCTAATACATAAACCAAAGGAAGGAAGGAAGGAAGGAATGAAAGAAGGAAGGAAAGAGGGAATGAAGAAAGAAAGTAAGAAAGAAAGAAAGGGAAGAAATAAGGAAGGAAAGAAAGGGAGGAAATAAGGAAGAAAGATGGAAGAAAAGAAAAAAAAACACCGTACATATCCCCCATGAGTACTGATGTAAAAATCCTTAACAACATATTAGCAAATAGTATTCAGCAATATATAAAAAATTATACACCATGACCAAGTAGGGTTTATTTCAAGGATGGAAAGATGTTTTTCATTTTGGTACTATGGTGTATTACATTGATTTTCTTTCTTTCTTTTTTTTGCCTAAAGAATAAAATAAATTGATTTATTTGCCTACAGAATAAAATTTTTTTTTAGTTTTTTATAATTTTTTATTTAAATTCAATTAGCCAACATCTAGTACATCATTAGTTTCAGAGGTAGGGTTCAGTAATTCATCAGTTGCATATCACACCCAGTGCTCATCACATCCCGTGCCCTCCTTAATACATTGATTTTCTAATGTTGAACCATCTTTGTGCATAAATCCCAACTGGTCATGACGTATAGTCTTCTTAATATGCTGTTGGATTCAGTTTGTTAGTACTTTGTTGAGGATTTTTGCATCTATCTATATATATGTAAGAGATATTGGTGTGTAGTTTTCTTGTACTGTCAGTCTGGCACTGGTATGTGGGTAACGCTAACCTCAAAGGAGGAGTTAGGAAGTGTTCCCTCCTCTTCTACTTTTTGGAAGCGTTTGAGAAGGATTGGTACTAATTCTTTAAATGTTTGAGAGAATTCAACAGCGAAGGCATCTAGACCTGGGCTTCGTTGGGAGATTTTTGAATACTGATTCATTAAAACTAAAACAGGAACCTAATAAAAATGGTAGTGTTGTTTCAGACCTGTTAAATAATTACTTGTGTAAATACTACAATATTTATGGACGTTTACTTGATAAAAATGTGAAGTTTGCTTGTAAAAGTCGGTGTCTACATGCAGAAGAATGAAGCTGGACCATTTCCTTACACCACACACAAAAATAGACTCCAAATGGATGAAAGACCTAAATGTGAGACAGGAATCCATTAAAATCTTAGAGGAGAACACAGGCAGTAACCTCTTCGATCTCAGCTGCAGCAACTTCTTCCTAGAAACATTGCCAAAGGCAAGGGAAGCAAGGGCAAAATGAACTATTGGCACTTCACCAAGATAAAAAGCTTTTGCACAACAAAAGAACGGTCAAAAAAAGCAAAAGACAACCGACAGAATGGGAGAAGATATTTGCAAATGACATATCAGATTAAGGGGTAGTATACAAAATCTATAAGGAACTTATCAAACTCAACACCCAGAGAACAAATAAACCAATCAAGAAATGGGCAGAAGACATGAACAGACATTTTTCCAAAGAAGACATCCAAATGGCCAACAGACACATGAAAAAGTGTTCAATATCACTCAGCATCAGGGAAATCCAAATCAAAACCTCAATGAGATACCACCTCACACCAGTCAGAATGGATAAAATTAACAAGTCAGGAAATGACAGATGTTG